AACGGCGGTGATGGGTACCGGAGACCGTGGAGTTGGCGGGAACTATTCCTGTGCTCTGATACCATGTGAAATAATAGAGAAGATTAGGAGAAATCTCCCTTATGTGTTTAGCATACACATAGGGTAGTTTATTTATAATGTAAGATAAGGTTTAAACCCTAAATACATAATGGGCTAAGCCCAATTAACATAAACACACAACTTAACATCTAACACATCCAATATCATAGGCTTTTGACCTTTGGCGATAATGAATCTTCCATGGAGATTGAATCCTCTGTAAACATCTTCTGGGTTAGTGATGGATAAAGAATCCCCTTTTTGGCATGGTTTAGGTAGCTAGGATAGAATAGGAGCAACCACTTCACAAGACAAAGCTTGAAGACAAGATTTAGAGGCTTTTGGTGGGATATAAGGCTGATTATTGAGGGTTATGGGACATTACCAGTGATAAATGTAAGGTTCCTCCATTTCCTTTCCAAAACCAGACACCAATGGCTCAAGGACAAATATAGATGTTGCAATCTTGGAGAGAAGATGACCGCAGATTCCATCTAAGTGTGTCATATAGTTTAATACATACTAAGTGGAAAACATGATTCTATTTATAACATAATTAGATTTTTACTTTCTGTTCTACCTTCCACAGATCTTCTCATCCTTATTGTGGTAATTTAACTTTGCTCCATGTTTAAGTTTCCTCCCTCTTTTATGGTTTCTTTTGAAGTCATTATGTCATGTTGCACATTTTATTGAGTTACAAATTAAGCAAACAACTTTCTGTAGTATATCATCTGGTTTCACGAGTGAAAAATACTGAAAATATATGTTTGAATGAAAGTAAAACTATCTTGAAAAGTTCATGTCAATATTTTAACATGTGGCAGTATATCGTAGGTTGCAGCCTGGGATGCAAATCTTGTAACTCCTCACAAACGCATGGGGAATGCAGGTGTTGATCTAGAGTGGCTCTGTGATGGTGAGGACCAGAAAATCTATTGAAATTTTGTTAGTGCAATGTTGAAAGATTGTTGTGTTGCTTAAAATTTTGAAATGAGTTCAATTTCTTCTCTCCATTTTCTTTTTATACATGTTGATCGGTCAACAGTAGGGTAAAAGTTACTTATGAATATAGTTAAACTTATGGCTGCAAAAACTCAGCAAAAATGCCTTTTGCTATAGGAGATGTGCATGAAATATTGGTTGAGTTGGAAGGAATGGGTGGTGGCGGAAAGGTTCAGATGGAGGTATGTTTCTTAAGAGTACAAATTTTATGGGGAAAAGTTATTTTCTGTATGATTTGGTAGAACAAATATTACAACTTACAACTTCATATGGCAATATATGCATTTGTATATTTTATTACTTGCATTAAACTGTTTCCATTTTAGCCATCTTGTACTATTTTAATAAATCTTTATAGGTTTTAATGTAAAATTTGACTTCTTGAACTTCAATCAGGACTTTTGATATAAGCTATATGCTTTATGTATTTTTGAAATATTTATCTACATATGTGCTTAATTTGGTATAAATTCTGTTGTGTTGTTTAAAGGACAGGTTATGATGTAATGAATCATGATTGTGATAACTTTTGGATTTTAGGTAAAATATAAAAGCTATGATGAAATTGACGAAGAGAAAAGGTGGTGGAAGATACCTTTTGTTTTAGACTTTTTAAAGATAAAAGGTTTTGATTCTGCATTCAGAAAGGTTATTGGCTCTGATACAGTACAGGCCCGCCAATTTGTGGAATATGCATTTGGGCAGTTAAAGTCTTTTAACAATTCATATCTTCTGAAGGGCCGGAAGTCTGATAATATTGATGAGTACGACAGTGAAGCTACAGGGGAACTGACTGAATCTGCTTCTATATCCAATATTCCTTCCATCGAAGCTGGTAGTTCAGAAGCCTCCAATGAGGCTAGCAGGGAACAGAGGAACTCAAAGGAATTTATCAGACATGGCAATGATACTGAAAATGGACATGCTTCTGAATTGCCAGCAAAAGTTAGTGAGGAAGAATTATCAAATAAAATTTTTTGGAGGAATTTTGCTAATGTTGTTAATTCTAGTATCGCTCAAAAGTTGGGTCTCTCTGTTTCTGAGAAATTTAAGTGGGACGGATTGGAGTTTTTAAACAAAATTGGCTCACAATCTCAAAATATTGCAGAAAGCATTTATGTTCAATCTGGTCTTGCAATGCCTGGCAGCACAGATGATATGAATGATAAAACAAGTGGCCAACCTGCCGTCACTGTGTTTCAGTCTTCACTTCCTGAGGTTAAAAAAGCGACACAAAATTTGATGAGGCAGACTGAGTCAATTTTAGGAGGTTTGATGCTTTTGACTGCAACAGTTTCTAAAATAAAAGATGAAGTGGATTCATCAGAAGAGAGGAAAGTGAAAGAAGATTATACTAAAGCAGGAGACAAGGACATCCAATATTCTGGTAGTCAGAAGCTTCCCAACTCACAGAGTGGAGTAGTGCTGGATGATAAAATAACTGAAGAGATGAAAGAACTTTTTTCTACTGCTGAAAGTGCCATGGAGGCTTGGGCAATGCTGGCCACTTCCCTGGGCCAACCTAGTTTTATTAAGTCGGAGTTTGAAAAATTATGCTTCTTAGATAATGCATCCACAGACACTCAGGTGTTTTGTTTATAACCTCTTCAATAAGTCCATTTTTCTGTTTTCTGTGAATTTTCAATTGGCAATGCATGTTTGTGATATATTGCCAATATCTTATTTTGTGTGCTGCTTTCTATTTTCTAAGTCTTTAGAATTTTCAGGTTGCAATTTGGCGTGATTCTGCACGAAGAAGGTTGGTGGTTGCTTTTAGGGGAACAGAACAGGTAGTTTATATTCTTGTTCTTTAAGGTGGTTTATAGCATCTGGACAGTTAAAGAAGCATATACTTTTTATTTTTCAGTCTCAATGGAAGGACTTAAGAACTGATCTAATGCTTGTGCCAGCTGGGTAACATTCTTTTCCATCCTAGTTGTGACTTTTTTTGTGGTTTGGTTTAGTTTTAACTTAACCAGTATCTCATTGTTTTATAGTTTTAATCTTGTGAGTAATTGTGTTGTATCATTGTATGTATTTGATAAATTTAATCATATTTGATACTGTTAGATTTTTTGTGATACTGTTTGAAATCCCACATTGGCNTTACTTATGAATATAGTTAAACTTATGGCTGCAAAAACTCAGCAAAAATGCCTTTTGCTATAGGAGATGTGCATGAAATATTGGTTGAGTTGGAAGGAATGGGTGGTGGCGGAAAGGTTCAGATGGAGGTATGTTTCTTAAGAGTACAAATTTTATGGGGAAAAGTTATTTTCTGTATGATTTGGTAGAACAAATATTACAACTTACAACTTCATATGGCAATATATGCATTTGTATATTTTATTACTTGCATTAAACTGTTTCCATTTTAGCCATCTTGTACTATTTTAATAAATCTTTATAGGTTTTAATGTAAAATTTGACTTCTTGAACTTCAATCAGGACTTTTGATATAAGCTATATGCTTTATGTATTTTTGAAATATTTATCTATATATGTGCTTAATTTGGTATAAATTCTGTTGTGTTGTTTAAAGGACAGGTTATGATGTAATGAATCATGATTGTGATAACTTTTGGATTTTAGGTAAAATATAAAAGCTATGATGAAATTGACGAAGAGAAAAGGTGGTGGAAGATACCTTTTGTTTTAGACTTTTTAAAGATAAAAGGTTTTGATTCTGCATTCAGAAAGGTTATTGGCTCTGATACAGTACAGGCCCGCCAATTTGTGGAATATGCATTTGGGCAGTTAAAGTCTTTTAACAATTCATATCTTCTGAAGGGCCGGAAGTCTGATAATATTGATGAGTACGACAGTGAAGCTACAGGGGAACTGACTGAATCTGCTTCTATATCCAATATTCCTTCCATCGAAGCTGGTAGTTCAGAAGCCTCCAATGAGGCTAGCAGGGAACAGAGGAACTCAAAGGAATTTATCAGACATGGCAATGATACTGAAAATGGACATGCTTCTGAATTGCCAGCAAAAGTTAGTGAGGAAGAATTATCAAATAAAATTTTTTGGAGGAATTTTGCTAATGTTGTTAATTCTAGTATCGCTCAAAAGTTGGGTCTCTCTGTTTCTGAGAAATTTAAGTGGGACGGATTGGAGTTTTTAAACAAAATTGGCTCACAATCTCAAAATATTGCAGAAAGCATTTATGTTCAATCTGGTCTTGCAATGCCTGGCAGCACAGATGATATGAATGATAAAACAAGTGGCCAACCTGCCGTCACTGTGTTTCAGTCTTCACTTCCTGAGGTTAAAAAAGCGACACAAAATTTGATGAGGCAGACTGAGTCAATTTTAGGAGGTTTGATGCTTTTGACTGCAACAGTTTCTAAAATAAAAGATGAAGTGGATTCATCAGAAGAGAGGAAAGTGAAAGAAGATTATACTAAAGCAGGAGACAAGGACATCCAATATTCTGGTAGTCAGAAGCTTCCCAACTCACAGAGTGGAGTAGTGCTGGATGATAAAATAACTGAAGAGATGAAAGAACTTTTTTCTACTGCTGAAAGTGCCATGGAGGCTTGGGCAATGCTGGCCACTTCCCTGGGCCAACCTAGTTTTATTAAGTCGGAGTTTGAAAAATTATGCTTCTTAGATAATGCATCCACAGACACTCAGGTGTTTTGTTTATAACCTCTTCAATAAGTCCATTTCTCTGTTTTCTGTGAATTTTCAATTGGCAATGCATGTTTGTGATATATTGCCAATATCTTATTTTGTGTGCTGCTTTCTATTTTCTAAGTCTTTAGAATTTTCAGGTTGCAATTTGGCGTGATTCTGCACGAAGAAGGTTGGTGGTTGCTTTTAGGGGAACAGAACAGGTAGTTTATATTCTTGTTCTTTAAGGTGGTTTATAGCATCTGGACAGTTAAAGAAGCATATACTTTTTATTTTTCAGTCTCAATGGAAGGACTTAAGAACTGATCTAATGCTTGTGCCAGCTGGGTAACATTCTTTTCCATCCTAGTTGTGACTTTTTTTGTGGTTTGGTTTAGTTTTAATTTAACCAGTATCTCATTGTTTTATAGTTTTAATCTTGTGAGTAATTGTGTTGTATCATTGTATGTATTTGATAAATTTAATCATATTTGATACTGTTAGATTTTTTGTGATACTGTTTGAAATCCCACATTGGCTAAAGATATGGTCAAATTATACAAACTTCCCCTTAAAAGTTAATTTTGCGAAGTTGATTTAAGTTTAAAGTCTATTTCTTAAGATGATTTTTGAGTTTAATATAGTATATAAGTGGATGCAAATATTATTTTACAAGCTGGTTTTTGTGAAGTTGAGTTAATCTTAAAGTTTACTTTTTAATAAATATATTTGATTCTTTTGAAACAAAATATTTGGCAAAAAAACTGATAATAGATAAAATTAAAAATGAGTAGAAAAGGTAGTGAAAATCAATAGATTCATGTTTTGGGGACATAAGGCAGCAAGATATTTTTAGTTCATTGAGAAAGTACACCATTCTTCTTTCTGTTGTTGGTATTGACTGTTATTACTTCAAAATGTATTAGAAATGTCAGTTTTTGAAGTTCTCAGGTGCACTTAAAATTCTTTGGTGCTGTGTCAAATCATAATTAGTTTAGGGATTGATTAAAATTACTTTTGGTTTAACCATATTATTTCCTTTCATGACTACCTTTCCCATGAATTTCACAGGCTAAATCCTGAAAGGATAGGTGGAGATTTCAAGCAAGAGATTCAAGTATGTTAATTGTAGTAAGGTTTATGGTCAGACATGTTTGGTAGGTTTTTTGAAGGCTTAAGAACATATTATTCGTTTGTTGTTGATGATGCTATGGTTTTTGTAGGTTCACAGCGGTTTTCTAAGTGCATATGATTCAGTAAGGACCAGGATCATTTCTCTTATTCGGCTAGCAATCGGTTATGTGTAAGTCATGTGAAAGTCATGTGAAAAAGGTTTTTGTACCGAGCACACTGCCTTGTAATTGTGCTGTATTTCTTAGAATATTTTGAAAATCCCTTTGCTTTCCAACGTGAAGCTTTTATAGTTGACTAAATAAGTGCTTATATGAGTTAAGTGACAAATGAATTACTTATTGTCATGAACGAGCTAGCCCAAAAGCTTAAGCTTGGGGTGTAGGTACAACTTGAACTACCAAAAATATAATTTTATTGATAACTATGTGATGGGTTCTATTGGGAGGTTATGATTTAGGAGTTACAGCTGTTGTGTTCTTGATAAGACCCGAGTGTTATGTGCAATTATGACACTTATATGTAAAAAATAAATGCTTTAGAAATCAACTCAATATTAGAAACTCCGGGGTGACAGTTATGTGTAGAAAATTATTACTTCAGAAATCAATTCTATATTAAAAACTCCAGGAAGGCAGTTATGTGTAAAAGATAACTATTGCTATTTTGTTATGTATTAGAAACTGTAGCATGAAAATATGGGTGGAAAATAACTGCTGGTAGTAGTGTATTTGGAGTATATGTGATTGGTGTTTGTGTAATTATTGACGAGTGTGAAGTTGTTTGTGATTTGTGAACAGAGAATACGGTTGTATGAGATGTTTGTCTCTAGGACAGAAAGTGTATTGATCTATTTAAAGTGATAAGGGAGCCTTTTGTCTCTGGGACAAGTGTTTTAAACTATTACATGTGATTCCAGTGTTTAATGTTATATTTATTACTTTTTTTATCAATAGCGTTTCTATCAATTATACACACAGTTTGATTGACAGACCTATATGAGGGTATTAAGGTTTCAGTTTGTTGCATATGGTCTTTGAAGGAAAAATCTCCTTAAAAGGGGTAAACCCTTGTTTGTTGAGTGCTTGTACAGTAAATCTGGTTATTAAACCTGATTGTTTTGTTAATACAGTACATCTCAAAATTTGATTTGCTTTGACAAACAAAAGTTATTTCTTGTTCCAGAGATGATCATTCTAAGTCACTTCACAAATGGCATGTTTATGTGACTGGTCATAGTTTAGGTGGTGCATTGGCAACCTTGCTCGCACTTGAACTTTCATCCAATCAATTAACGAAGTAAGTTTACTATTTCTTATATACTTCATTTCTTTAATCTATAACTTTTTATGCTTTTATTCGTTTGCAAATGAACACGCACTTACTAGCAAATCTTTTATTTACACTTGATAAAGATTAGACATGATGAAAGGAGATTTTATTGAAGTGAATGTTTGAAACGATATATCAGCCTTTATTTAGAGAACTCTACCCCTAAAGTAAAGATTACGAAGAGATCTCTAGAGTGAGTATACTTGAAAGGATTAATATGAAACAAAACATTTTTATTCAAAATTGATTCATTTGAAACCGTACATCAACCTTTATATATAGAGAACTCTAACCCTAAAGTAATAATTACAAAAAAATCTCTAGAATCTTCTAACAACTAACAATTTCTATCTACTTCTAGTAATACAATTAATATTCTACCAACAACTTTGAATAATGTATTTAATATCTTACTAATAATGCTCCCCTTCAAGCTGGTAACTGGATATCTATCATTCTTAACATGCATGTTAGATTATGAAATCGCTCAATGGTAAGACCTTTCGTAAACAAATCTACTAATTGAAGCCCAAATGGGATGTAGGAAGTAGTTATAAGGCTACTATCCAATTTCTCTTTAATAAAGTGTCGATCTATCTCTATGTGTTTGGTCATCTCATGCTGAAGTGGATTGTGAGCAATACTAATAGCTGACTTATAATCACAATAAAGGATCATAGATTCTTCACATGCCACTTTAAGATCATTTAGAGTAATTCTCAACCATAACAATTCACACACTTGTTGTGCCACAACTTGAAATTTAGCCTTTGCACTAGACCTTGCAACAACATTTTTTTTCTTTTCCAAGTCACCAAATTTCCACCCCAGAACATGCAATATCCTACATCCTACGGTGGATTTCACCTTCTATCTAAGCGTTATGACAGTTAGATTTCACCTTCTCACTTAACTCTCTCTTTCTCTCATAAACCCTCCATATTCTATCATTACCTACCGCCTGATGATCAACCTTGTCCTCAAGGTTGAAATCAAGAAACTGATCCTGGATTGTTCCAACATCTTCCCAGGTAGCTCCCTCGGATCCCCTTTTCTGCCATTTCAGAACCTGTTGTCTAGTCTCCCATCAGAGTTACGTTCAAGATTTCTTTTTCGCCTGCCAAGAACTTGTGTGAGTTCTCGGATTTCTTGTTGTAACGCTGTAGTCTTTGCCTTCAAACCGTCTAGCGTTGTCTTGACTATCTCCATTTAACCTTCCAACACGTTCAACCTTGTCTCAATTCCTCCTTTTCTCTTGCAAAACTGATCCGGCAAGTTGGACCAAATGATAGGGTTCTGATTTGGAACCTATCTGAACTCCTCATACTCTCACACACAAAAGCAAGAGCACATTCAAGGGAGCCCATTTCCCCCCTCCACAGGAAACAAAGTCCTGTCTAAACAATTCCCAAAACTCAAAACTAACTCTGTACATAAAATAAGAGTTCTTTATATGAACTCTTTTCCCAACAAGTCTTTAATATTGGCCTTTATTCACAATAGAATTGCCTTCATCAATCCCAATTGTATGGTTTTGTTCTTTGAGAAGTTCAAGAACATAGTTTCTTTGGGAGATAAAGATGCCTTTCTTTGAGTAAACAACTTTTATCCTAAGGAAGTACTTTAATTTTCCCATATTCTTCATTTCAAATTGACCTGCAAGATTCTTTAAAGATTTGTTTCTCTGGTCATCATTTCTTGCAACAATCATGTCATCAAAATAGACCTAGACTAGAGTAAGTTTTCCTTCAGGGGAATGTTTGATCAACAGGGTAGCCAGAACCAGTCACCGACTGCTTGAGGATAAAGACATATGTTGAAAATTTGGGGAGAGATTTTGAAATCTTGAAACATGAAGGGTTATTTTCTTCCTATTTAAACAACAAATTGAAACATAGTTTTTAGTGTAATTAAATAGAAGTCATGTGTTTAATTGCTACATGTGATAGCAAATGATTATTGAACTGAGGTGTTAGCCTAAGATGTCATAGTTTCAAAGTGATGCCTTAAATGAATTTTATAAAACCTAAAATAAATTAGAAGTCTTTTATCCTTCAAATCTTGGATGGATTAAATGCAACAAAAATGACATCTTAAAGCTTGGGAATATTTCAGCTTGTGGTGGCATTTTTAGGATGAAGGCTAAGAATAAGGGATTTTTATTGTCCAACTGGTAAAGGGGCCATTGACGAATGACAACCATAGCAAGCAAAATACGAACTGGTTTTAGCCACAGGAGAAAAGGTATTACAATAGTTGAGACCATAGACTTAAGTATATCCTTTAGCTACTAGACGAGCTTTGAGACGATCGATTGCACTAGTAGGACCAACCTTAATAGCATAGACCCATCTACAACCAACAAACTTCTTATCAGGAGGAAGAGGGACAAGGTCCTAAGTGCCATTGTGTTCAAGTGCTTGCATTTCATCAATCATGACTTGTCGCCATCCAGGATGACCAAGTGCCTCATGAACAATATTAGGAACCTGAATGGAAGATAAGGAGGAAACAAAGGAGAAATGTGGAGGAGACAAACGATGATAACTCAAACAATTATAAACAAAAAATTATAAACAAGATAAGGATTACGAGTAGAGCGAATACCTTTCTGGAGTGCAATAGGCAAATTATTAACTGAGTCAAGAGAGGGTGAGGAGAATGAAGGATCCATGGTCTGGGAATCTGATGGAGGAGGATCTGAGTCTCGAGGATCTTCAGTGTTCTGAGTTTGAGATTGTGTCCGACGTTGATATGTGAGAAGAGGTGGATGAACAATGTCATTTGCATTTTGAATTTGAAGTAAAGGAGCAAAAGTAACCAAGGGATCACATGATGTTAAATGAAACATTTGTTGAACAGATGAATGATCCTCTATGGAGGACAAGAAAAAAGGTGTATCCTTAAAGAATGTGAGATCAACATACATATAATACCTCTTGGGTGAGGGAAAATAACATTTATACCTTTTCTGAAGGTGAGAGTATCCCAAAAAGACACACTTAATAGCTTTTGCAGAGAGTTTATCAAGACTTGGAGAAACATTATGAACCAAACAAGTACACTCAAATATATGAGGAAACAAAAGGTATAGAGGGTCTTTTGGAAAAATGATAGAGTGAGGGACTTTATTCATAAGAGAGGAAGAAGACATCCTATTGATCAGAAAACAGGCAATGAGGGTTGTCAAACTCGAGAGTTTACGTAAACTCGTTAGAGTCCAGTAAACTCGTAAGAGTTTACTTTGCATGATAAAAAAATATAAATAACATCCTAATTCAAAGAAAATAACAAAATTATATAAATTCAAATACATAAGTCCATAGAAATATTGTTCATAGAAATAATGTAAAACATAAATTGAAATGTCAAAGTCTCTATACCTAATCCTCTAATCCTCTAGTAATGGCATCATCATCTCCATCATCATCCTCATTTACTTCTTCCTCTGATGAATGTTGTGCATCTTCATTGTCCCCAAATGTTATCTTATAAAGATCAAGAACATCTAGAGCAGGATCTATTGCTATCTTATAAAGATCAAGAACATCTAGAGCAGGATCTATTGCTGCTCCATCTAAGTGAACATTTTCACCTTCAACTTGCTCAATCTCAACAACATCATCTGCCTCTTCAGTTATCTATTCATCATCTGATTCAATGTCATCAAATGGAAGAGCTACACTTTTTCGAATTTGTCTACTTTTCAACTTGGAGTTATACATCACATAAACTAAATCATTCATATTTTTTTATGCAAATGATTCCTTCTCTTTGTATGAACCTAAAATGAAATATAATATTTTTAGTGAAGATATAAACATAATAAAGAAATTTATAAATTAAAAATAATTTAGATAACCATTTCAAATTAACTCCAATTACGTTCACATCTAGATGAACTACAAGTCAAGCTTAGAATTTGAATAGCAAATCTCTTCAACTCCGGAGTTCCATCACCAAACATGTCCACTGTTCCCCAAGATTTAACTCTTTCCTACACTCCTTTGCATCTTCCATTCCAAAAAGTCCTTTAGCATAATGAAATTCAACAATTTGTAAATTAATTTTTCTTCTTTCTGCCATATCTGGTATCAATCTTCTCATGCAAATATACAATCCTTCTTTCACCTTTCCACCATCATCACATCTAAAGTTAAGTTCATAGTGGAAATGGGGGTCAGAAAATAGGCAGCTGCATGCAAAGGCCTACGAAGTTGATTATCCCATCGAGCATTAATTATTCTTCAAATCTCTTCATAACTACATCTATTATACTATATCAGAAATAATTTCACACATAAGTAATTAAACATTGAATGAGTAAAAGTTTGAAAATTTACCTCTTTTTGATATTGTTAAAGTTAGACCTAATCTTCTCTTTTGCACAATCCATTTCTTCATAAATGAAACCCATTGTGGGTTTTACATCTGAGTCCACTAATCTTAAGACAACCATAAGAGGGACAACAACTTTCAAGCACGTGGAGACATTCTTCCAAAACCGGCTATCTAATACCGCATGTTCTACTTTTCTCCTCTCTTGTGAAGTTCCAAACTTGCTTGTCTTCCATTTCTTAGAGCTAAACATGGTTAATAACGAGGCCTTCAATTCATGAAGACAAGCAAGAGTTAAATAAGTCATGGCAAATCTAGTCACACCCGGTCTTATCAAGTCTCTACTATTAGTGAACTTTTTCAACAAGGAAATCAACATTGATCTTCCATAGATGTAATCTTTCTTCCCTTCTTAATGGTCAATTCATGGACCTTCAAAGTTTTTTAAAATCTTTAAATATCAAATCAATGCAATGTGTTGCACATGGAGTCCAATACATTTTTTCCCTCTTTTGCATCAACAATTCTCCGGCTGCCTTGAAATTTGCAGCATTATCAGTGACAACTTGAAGCACATGTTCTTCTCCAACAAACTTGACAAAATCGTCCAACATTTTGGAAACTTTATCAGCTGTTTTTGAAATGTCTGAAGTGTCAAGTGAATAAAGAAAAATTGTCCCTTTAGGACTATTCACCAAGAAGTTGCAAATAAAACGTCTTTTTCTATCTGTCCAACCATCAGACATAATTGTACATCCACTTCTCTACCACTCCTCCTTATATTGCTCAAGATTTGCATCTGTTTTCTTCACAGCTTATTTCAAGAGCTTCTTTCTAATATCATGATAAGATGGTGGTTTGTTTCCAACTCCATACTTACCAATCATTTCACACATCTTTAAAAATGTTGGATTTCTAATTACATTAAAAGGAATGGCACTGGTGTAAAAGAATTCAGCCACTTGAGCATCAACTTCTTCTTTGTATCCTTTTTTCATCATTTGATTTATCGTTGCTTGGACTCTCCCTTGCTAGTAGTAGCAACTTTTTCTTTTCCTTTATAACCAAATACCTTATGTCCTCCATCAAGACTCTCTGTTAGGGATGGAGAGTTTACGTGAGAAGGAATAAAACAGGGAATACCGAACTGTTTTGGCAGTTAGGTGGTGTGCGTATTCGTTTGTATAAATAGCTAGCTGAATAGAGGAGGAAAGTTAGTTAGTTGTTTTGTAGAATTCTAACATGAAACCATTATTCCTGTGGGGGAGGTTAAGCTCCCATTTGCTTACTGTACATTGTATTCTTGCTGTTGATAATACATAGAGGAATTATAAAGTTTTTCGAATGTGATAATCTGGTGTGTTAGAGTGGGTTCCTTTAGGTTTCTTGACCAGAAACCTAACACTCTCACTTTCTGCCTCGTCTTCACCGATATTTATCTTTCTCTTCTTTAATGAAGCACTCTTAGCTTCTGCAACTATTTTTATCATCAACTTTTTTATTTCAACCGAAACAGAAGCATAAGGTTCAAAATCTTCCCCAGTTCCAGCAAGATGATACTTAAATCTAAATATCCCTCCACTTACAATCTTTTGAGCAATAGTTGCATTTCACTTTTCTTCCATTACCATTAACATCAAATCCATGTTTCCATCCAATATCAGATCGATTTTCCGAAGCATTTTTACTTCCACTATTAACTGATGAAGATGCACTTAGATTAGCTTGTCCTGAATTTGATGCATTTCCCTACATAATGAGATAAGCTTCTTCACTACAAACATAAAAAATAAAATGTCCAAGAGCTTAAAATATTATGGCAGCACAGTTTTTTAAACAGTGCAGTGTGCAACACTTTATTTTTGAAAAATAAAATGAATGGTGTAGTGTTGTAAAATGGTGCAGTGCTGTAAAACATAAAATTATTAAAATATATGCTGCAGTGCTGTAAAGTTTACTCGTTAAAATACTTTGCTCTTAAAACATAAAATCAAGTTAACCATCACGAAGTGGTAGAGGATTTACACTTACACAACCCGCAAGTTCGAAGACAATATAGCAATATCGATGACGAGATCGACAAATGACATGAATGGCGGGAACGAAAGCGAGATCGAACTACGAGAACGAAGGTGCGACAAAGGGTGAACTTGATGAACGCGGGCACAACGGAGGGCGAGATCAAATGACGAGATCAAAGGCGAGAGCGCGAGAATGAAGATGAATAGTGAGAATGAAGATGAACAGTGAAAACGAAGATGAATAGTGAGTGAATCTCTTGAGCTAAAGCTCAAAAATCCTAATTTGGTGAGCCCTAAAAACGAGGTCGTTTTATGTTTTCGAAATTTCTTCCCAAACTCGCAAAATCAACACTAGAGTCGCGATTTCAAGCAAGTTTATCTAGTCTACCACCGATTCCACCGATCCTACACCAAAAGCGAGTTGGCTTACGTGTTAACTCGAAAGCACTGTGTGAACTCGTAAACTCGACCGAGTTAACGAGTTAACTCGCTAGTTCGATAACACTTCGCCCCGATGATGGAAAGGAACATTAGTATTCAACATTAGGGAGCGTGCAGTTTTAATGAGATGTCTATTTTTTCTCCTACAATGCATTTTGTTGTGGAGTGTGGGGACATGTTGACTGGTGTAAAATTCCTTGGGAAGATAAGAATGAAGAAAATGCTGCAGAAAAATATTCCTTAGCATTATCACTTCTGAGGATTTTAATTGTCTTCCCGAATTGGTTCTTGATTTCATTAAAAAAGGACAGAAATATGGCCAAATGTTTAGATCTATCTTTCATTAAATAAACCCAAGTACATCGAGAAAATTCATCAATGAAGGTTACAAATAATTAAAACCAAAAGAAGTAACACGACTTGGTCCCCAAATATCAGAGTGAATAGTTGAAAAGGCAAAAATACATTGTGTCTTAGACATTTTAGGTTAGGAAGATCTAACATGTTTTCCTAATTGACACGACTCACAATCTAAGACTTGAATGTGTTCCAGGCTTGGAACCATCATCTTTAACTTGGATAAGCTTGGGTGGCCCAACCGATCATGTAAAAGTTTTGGGGATGAAGTTGTGAAATAAGAAACTGAGGAGTTAGGTTTTAAGAAATAAAGTCCTTGTGACTCATATCCTTCTCCAATCAGACGACCCATACCATGTTCCTGTATAACAAAGGAATCAGCAGAAAAGGTTAAAGAACAATTTAAAGAACGAGTCAATTGACTCAAAGACATTAAATTGTAAGGACAATGATGAATATACAAAACAAAATTCAAATTTAGTGAAGGAGATAAGGAAACTTTGCCAATTCCCCGAGAGGCAACTTTGGATCCATTGGCAACAATAACCAAATGAGGAATGACATTGAGGAGATGGTTGGCCAAGATTAGAAGATTTTTCAGACTTGTACCTCAAAAACTCTTGGTACTCTTCATCAAAAATTCTAGATTCTAAATTATCAGAGTTAGACACATGAGCAACTTTGTCTAGAAAGCCATGCAAGGAATAACATTTATCTCCGGTATGGCCTATTCTCTTACAATATGAGCATTGAGAACGTCCACTTCGACCACCACATCCTCCTCGGTTGCTCCTTCCTCCTCCTCTTCCTTGTGGTGCCACCATTACTGATTTTTCAATGGCATCACTTAAATTTTCGTCTTTTACCAATGTAGGTAACCGAATGAGTTGAGTAACTAAGCCATCCATTGACAGGATTTGGTCACCAGCTAAAACTTCACAAACATGATCAAAATCCGAGTGTAAACTTCTCAAAATTAGGACCATGTAAAACTTGTCAAGCTTTTGTTGATATTTTCTAATGGATCAACTACAAAGAAGTTCTTTAACTCTTCTACCACAGCCTGAGCTTTTGCTATATGGGAAACCATATCATGGTTGACTTGTTTGAGAGAAGCTTCTCTTTGGGTTGCATTGAAAAGATGATGCACATCATTAGCAAAAATATCTTGTGCCCTTTTAACAAAGAAGAGCATGTCTTATAGGGTCTTAAGATATCTACAACCGATTGCCATAAAACAGCACATAACTGAAAGTCTAGTTTCTGCCACTGAGATTTCTCTTCATCTGGGACCATAGAAATATCCTGTTCAAGGTGATTATGGTGTCCTTGACCAAGAAACCATAATTCCAAACCAGAGGACCATGATAAATAATTTTTCCAATTGAGTTTTGCAAATGTAATGTTAGCGGTAGCAAATAAAGAGGAACTAATTCCAGTAAAAGAGGCCATTTTAAAGCTGTGAGAAAAAAACAAGAATTAGGGTTCCAAATAACTTGAGGAAGGAAACCCTAGGTATGAGCCCCAACCAACAAAACGGAGAAACACGTACCAAAACTAACTCAGGAAGCCCCGACAAGACGATCGGCAGTGGCGCGATGGAACTCTGACACTAGTAAGGCGGTGCGTGAGGAACACGCGCTTGAGACTGGCCGGAGAGAAGCGGTGCGTGGCGGCGTGTGCGGAGGCTTCTGAGGAGGGGACCACCAAGGTTGGTTTGTGCTTCTCAAGGCGCACCTAACCCTTGACTTCGTTGGAGAAAACGAAGGTTGATGGTGACGGTGACGGTAGACAGTGGCGATGGTGGACAGTGCGGTGACCACTGGACGAAAACAATAGAGAGACGATAGACGAGGAAGACACAAAGGTCTGGCTCTTGATACCAACTTCAAGAGTTGAGGGAAGATAAAAATTTTATTTCACTTAGTAAACCTGATATAACTTACTACTGCGTTTATAGGTGACATTAGTTCTGAAATGTAAAAGGGCTGGAAGCCCCCTAACAAAACCCTAAAAGTACAAAACGCTCACATAAATATTAATAATAATAAAGACATTACATTTCAACAATAGGTGTTGATTTTATATGGTGGGAAGGAATTTCCCTTTTTCTTATGATTGTAGAGATAGATGTGGGCTTCAACATTCTTGGCTTTTCTAGCGGGTTTTGGTTGGGTCTTCCACTTTTGTATTTCTTTTCTTTATACTATGAAAGGGATGGTGCAAATGATTGGTAGAGGCTATAGTCCTAACCTAGGATTATAACCTATACAGTGATACCTTAACATTCTTATTTTCATTTTAAAAAATAGAATTTGTGTACTTTGAGAATTTTATAAATGAATTTGTGTAAATTTTCATTGACTTTCAAACAAGTATCTATAAGTAGCTAACAATAGGCAAGTTTCTGAAACCGAGGACCTATTTAAATTTTTCTGAAAGATAGTATGCATAGTGATATTATACATACAACTTGTTTGAAACAGCTGGCAGTAACTAACTTTGCTAAGCTGACAAGTTATTTAGAGTACAAAGCATTTTTATGAAATGATTTGAGACAATCTGTGTATATACTATCACTAAAAATATAGGAGCTAACAATTAATACACCCTAATATTATAAATTATAATCACTATTTCCCCCCACTTATAATCATGACAGTTTTTGTATGCTGTAAATTTTTTTTTCTACTAGGCAAGGGGCAATTTCCATTACTATGTACAACTTTGGTTCTCCTAGGGTTGGTAACAAAAGATTTGCGGAAATTTACAATGAGGTTAGAAAATAATATTACTATTTTGTTAATGTTGTTTGCCTTGTTGCTATATCAAATTGATTGTCCATTATGATCTTCATTTTTCTTTCAAATTCTATATCTTCCTATATACTATAATGTTTGACATAGAGATATTTTGTCTTCTTTATTAGATTATCATGTTTAAAAAAATAGACATTTTTGTGACTATTTACATTTTGTAAAAATGATGNATTACATTTCAACAATAGGTGTTGATTTTATATGGTGGGAAGGAATTTCCCTTTTTCTTATGATTGTAGAGATAGATGTGGGCTTCAACATTCTTGGCTTTTCTAGCGGGTTTTGGTTGGGTCTTCCACTTTTGTATTTCTTTTCTTTATACTATGAAAGGGATGGTGCAAATGATTGGTAGAGGCTATAGTCCTAACCTAGGATTATAACCTATACAGTGATACCTTAACATTCTTATTTTCATTTTAAAAAATAGAATTTGTGTACTTTGAGAATTTTATAAATGAATTTGTGTAAATTTTCATTGACTTTCAAACAAGTATCTATAAGTAGCTAACAATAGGCAAGTTTCTGAAACCGAGGACCTATTTAAATTTTTCTGAAAGATAGTATGCATAGTGATATTATACATACAACTTGTTTGAAACAGCTGGCAGTAACTAACTTTGCTAAGCTGACAAGTTATTTAGAGTACAAAGCATTTTTATGAAATGATTTGAGACAATCTGTGTATATACTATCACTAAAAATATAGGAGCTAACAATTAATACACCCTAATATTATAAATTATAATCACTATTTCCCCCCACTTATAATCATGACAGTTTTTGTATGCTGTAAATTTTTTTTTCTACTAGGCAAGGGGCAATTTCCATTACTATGTACAACTTTTGTTCTCCTAGGGTTGGTAACAAAAGATTTGCGGAAATTTACAATGAGGTTAGAAAATAATATTACTATTTTGTTAATGTTGTTTGCCTTGTTGCTATATCAAATTGATTGTCCATTATGATCTTCATTTTTCTTTCAAATTCTATATCTTCCTATATACTATAATGTTTGACATAGAGATATTTTGTCTTCTTTATTAGATTATCATGTTTAAAAAAATAGACATTTTTGTGACTATTTACATTTTGTAAAAATGATGATTTTGTGATGTATTGATTCTAAATTTTCATCATTTGATGAAGAGCACAATAGACCGTCTACTAGTGTCAAAATTAATCAGACCATCTACCTTCTACCACCTTTGTTGGTGTTTTGTCTTAATTGTTTTTGTAGTTTTCTATTTCCTTATTTCAATATATAGAGAATCTGTGTATGGTATACATATTGCATTGAGAACGTACTTCATGTATGCTACAACACTTGCATTCTTTCATTCTTGTTCTTGTGTTTTTCTTGTTATTGTTGAACAAACCCAACAATTGGTGCCATTTATGGGAATAGGAGGAAGAAAGTTAAGAAGAGCAAGGTTTGAAGACATGATCTTCGAGTTTGATATCGTAAATGTTTTTGCTGAGAACAACTTCAAATTATGGAGGATCAAGATGGATGCTATATTGATACAGTAACGATGTGGTGATGCAAGAAATAGTGAGGTGAGCATGTCAGCATTGTTGTCTTAGAAGAAGACTGACATGATCAACAAAGCTAGAAGCGCCATAATTTTTGTGTTTTGGGGATAAGACACTTAGAGAAGTCATGAAGGAAAGAACTATTGCATCAATGTCGATGAAGCTGGTGTCATGACAAATCTTAGGCACATAGATTTTGTCTGAAGCAACAACTATATTCCTTGAAAATGACTGAATCAGGAATAATGGTGGAGCAACTAGCAAATTTAAACAAGATTATCGATGATATGGAGAACGTTGAAGTGAAGTTCGAAGATGAAAATAAGACTTTACTATTCTTAATGCCTTGCCTAAGATATTTGAGCATTTTAAAGACACTTTGTTGGTTGGGAAGGATTATATCATTACTCTAGAAAAAGGTACAAGCCTAAATTTTGATGAAAGAGCTACAAAAGCTTCAAGAGTCTAAGGTATACAATAATGGTTGAAATTGGAAGGGAGTAAGTCAAACCATTAGTTGAAAATAAGACTGATTTATTATTCTCAATCATGAAAAATACATTCTCATATCCTCTATTTGTAATAATCTAATTCTTTTTAAAAGGTAAATAGTGAAACTTGGAAATCAAAATAAAATAAAAGATTATATATCTATTTCCTCTAATTAGGAAGATTCTAAAGATACTTTCTCTAATTACAACACTCCCCCTCAAGTTGGTAAATGAATATCAATCATTCCCAACTTGCCTACAAGATCTTGAAATCTACCCGGAGGAAGCCCTTTTGTAAAAATAGCTGCTATTTGAAGTTCTATAGGAACATGAGTTGTAATCACAAATTCTCTGTCAAGATTATCTTTGATGAAATGTCTGTCAATTTCAATGTGTTTGGTTTTGTCATGCTGTACTGGATTATGGGCTATGCTCATAGACTTATTGTCATAGTGTAGTTGCACCGGGTTCTCCACTTTGACTTTAAGATCATCCAAAATGATTTTCATCCAGAGTCCTTCACACATTCCTTGAGCAAGGGCTCGAAATTAAGCTTCTGCACTAGAACAAGATACTATATCTTGCTTTTTGCTTCTCCATAATACCAGACTATCTCCAAGAAATACAAAATACCTTGAAGTAGATTTTCTGTCAGTAATAAGCAATGTTTGGTCTTCTGTGTGATAGATAAATCAATTTTCCTACCAACCTCTAATATTGGGCCTTCTCTACATAAGCACTTTCCTAAAAATATTTTCTCTAATTACAACAACATTCATATGATGAAAAGGAGAATCAAGGGCTTGAGTGTTACAATTGCCAGAAGAGAAGTCACTAAAAGGTAGATTGTCTAGAGATGGAGAGGCATAGAAATTCTCATTTTAGAAGGGAATTTGCTGATCTTGTATAGCACTTGATAGCTAAGAGTTTGCTGGAGTGTTAGAACTCGGGATGCACTCACCACATGTTTCAAGTGAAGGAGTTGTTTGAGACCTTAGAATTGATAATAAAGCTTGTAATATGCAAGTCGTGGGGTCAATTAGATTGAAGATGTTTGACAATTGGGATATGTTATTTTAAGGTGCAAGGTATGTTCCAGAGCTCAAGAGAATCTTTTGTCGATTGGTATGTTTGGTCTTGTTGGTTTTGTCAACTAAAATTGAACAAGGCACTAAAAAGATTTTAAAGGGAGTTTCTACATTTGCTAAGGGGTGAAAAGAACGGTCTTTACAATTGCTAGATGGTTCAATAGTGATTGCACAAGTGTTTGTGGTTAGTTAAATGATGTAATATAATAGGAAGTTGTGGCATCTGAGGTTGAGACACATTAGTGAGAGAGGTTTAGTGGAGCTAGGCAAGCATAACCTACTAGGAGGTGATAGGTTAGAGGAGTTGGAAGTGATAAGCAAACAAAACCTACTTGGAAAGTCTCAAATTAAAGTTTGGGATGGGTAGGTATGTGTCTAGTAAACCATTTGAGTATGCTCATGTAGACCTCTGAGGTCAAACATGAGCTCAGACTCATGATGGAGGGTCCTATTTGCTCACTAGCATAAATGATTACTTGCCAAGGGTGTGGATTTGTGTCTTTTAAAGACTAGGAATTTTTGGACATGTAAGGAGTGACACACCATGATTGGTAATTAATAGTTAACTAAACTTAAAAGTGTTTAGAATTGACAATGGATTGGAGTTTGTATTAGAGCAATTTAATGGATTTTGTAGGAAAAAAGGTATATAAGATGCCATAAGTTGGTCATAGGTATACCTCAACAAAATGGTCTTGCTGAGAGGATAAACAAAACCATTTTGGAGCAAGTAAATTGTATGCTACTGGGTGTTGGTTTGCCTAAGTTCTTCTGAGGGAAGCTACAAACACTACCATCTATCAAATAAACAAGAGTCCATCATCTGCTATGAAGTTTAGACTCCCATGGAATTAGCAAGGCCAACAAAAGATGTACTTTTTTATTCAATAGAAGTAATGGAATTAGAGGTCTAATGATCCTCATACCATTTGAGAAATTTTTAAAGATTGCAGTCTGCTCTGAAGGCTCAAACAACATAGCAGTAGTAGAAGAGGCCATAGGTACTTGTATGGGAGAGAGAAAAACCCTAAAATTCAGGTATCTCCAATCAAGGCAACAAGCACAAATTCAGAAAGACGGGAAGAGGCAATCTCGGCACAAGTGATCACTATCGGAGAGGAGTGACATGCCACCATGCCCTGCTGCCAAATGAACTAATGTGCAACTTCGAATGGTGCATGACTACTCCAATGACGAATATTTTTGCGGCGTGGTAGTCGTTGGACCCAAACGATTTGAATGGTGGGGTCACCAACTTAAATAGTGGCTCCGGTTGCTTGGCGGCAGCTATGGTGTGTTAATGGCGGTTCCGACAAAAAAAAATGTATGAGTTACTTGGAAACCCTAACTCTAGATACCATGTTAAATATAGAGAAAATTAGACATAGGAGTAATTCCCCTTGTGTAGAAAATACACAAGATAATATATTTATAATGAACAATAAGAAAAGAAACCCAAATACATAATGTTGTGACTAACGTAAGATATTATAACTAAGAATATCTTAACCGTATCTAACACTTCTCACCATTGGCAAAACACTCTTTGATAAGAATATTGATGTCAATTGTTAATTGGCACAATATGGTGTTAGAACAATTGAATATTAAGATAACTTTTCTGCTTGAAAACTTGGAAGAGACCATTTACATGGAACAACTGAAGGTATTTGTTGAAGACAAAGTAAAGGTGTGTCTCTTACATAAATCATTGGATGGCTTGAAGCAATGTCCAAGGCAATGGTACAAGATATTTGATGATTTCTTGAAGTTGACGGGGTTCTAGAGGAGCAATTATGATAATTGTGTCTACATCTTGGAAAAAGAGATGGATGTAGTGTGTTATGCTCGCTCTTATGTAGATGATATATTTATAATTAACTTGTATAAAAATGAGATAAAAGAATTAATAGAAAATTGAACTTGGAGTTTGAGATTAAAGATCTACGTCCCTCAAGGCAAATATTGGGGATGGACTGATGGAGGGATCAAGCAATTAGAGTGTTATGTCTATCTCAGCAAGATATTTGAAGAAGGTTTTTAAGAGGTTTAGGATGCATGAATCTAAACTTGTGGGTACACCATTGGATCATCACATAAGCTCTCAGTTACTCAAGCTTTTAGTTTTGAGGAAAGTAGGTGGGAAAGAGGACTATTGCATATGCTAATGGAGTAGGGATCATCATGAGTTAGATAGTGTGTAACAGATCAGATTTGGCACATGCTATTAGTTTGATTAGCAGATTCATGGCAGATCTTGGATATGCTTATTGGGAGGTAGATATATGAAAGGAACAATATCATATGGACCATTGTATAGATAGTCTACCCATAACAAAGAAGTTATAGAAAGGTTTGTAGATGTAGACTGTGTAGGGAATTTGATATCAATAAGTTGATTTTTGGGTATTTTTTTTCCCACTATTTGGTATTGCAGTTTGTTGGAAAGCCAATTTACAATCGGTAGTAGCTTTATCTACTACCCAAGTTGAGTATATCACATTCACAAAAGGGGTGAAGGAGATTGTGGTTGAAAGGGATTGTAGGAGAGCTGGGTATTGTGTAATTATTCGTTGTGATAGTCAAAGTGTCATATATTTAGTTCATCATTAGATATATCATTAGTGAGCTAAACACAATAATGTTAGATTGCATTTCATTAGAGACGTTGTTGAGTTTGAGAAGGTTAGGATTGTGAAGGTAGCATTGGAGGATAATCCTACATGTGTTAACGAAGTCCATACCAAAATCAATATTCAAAAGTTTCTTGGAGCACATTAAATTAAGGTGATGTGGGATTTCTTCATTATTTGGAGTCAAGGTGGAGAATTATAATGTAGTGGCTGATGAAGGGCACCATAGAGAATGTCTAGTACCACCCTTTAGTAGCTTGTCTATGTGTAGGCTATGCACGTTGCATTGACTATGAAGAAATTTTTGTTATAATACAATTGCTTTCTTTCATTCTTGTTCTTGTGTTTTTCTTGTTATTATTGAATGAACACAACATATTGTTTTCCTCTTGTATAAACAGAAAGTTAAAGATAGCTGGCGGGTTGTGAATCACAGAGATATTATACCTACAGTTCCTCGGCTAATGGGTTATTGTCATGTTGAGCGACCTGTATTTCTTGCTGCAGGTGTTTTAAGAAATGCTCTAGTGAGTGATTATTATAATTCTTTGCACTCGTGAATCTCTGCATTAAAAATCAAATTGTAATAAGAATGTACTATTTTCTTTATCTTCTACTGTCGTGTGAGGCACTCATACTTTTTGTTGACAATTTTAACTGCTTAATTGATTTGGCTATTAATGGCAATATTTAGGAAATTTTGAGTGAAATGGTATGGTTAGATTTGTTAGTCTTGATAGTTCAACTATGTAATTATCAAGAGCTTGGTTATATGGGAAAATGATTGAAATGGAACAATTAAAATGGCTATTAGGGGAAATGAATGGAATGAAATACTTACATTTATTAGCCCCAAATATAAAATGGCTATTATTTTGGTATCACCCTGGCATCAGACAGTTATGCAATGTAATTTATCAAAGGGTTAAGTATGTTTTTAATACGAAAAATTGGAATTCGTCCTTATTCGAAATTGATAGGCCCTGGATAGTTTACAAAAGGAGAGAAAGAATTAAAGAACCTAACTGTCTTAACAGTTGGGAGGGGAGCGGGAAAGAATTGTATAAATAACCTCTGTTTGGCAGAGGAGGGGAGTTTTTGCAGTTATTGTATAGACAGGTTCTTTGAACCTTGTGAGGGAGGTTATGCTCCCAGACTATTCATTGTACAGGCTATCTCTTGATAAATAATAGAATTCTTCCATTCATCTTTGCATTTTGTGTGTGTGAGAGTGTTTTGGCTAGGTTTCATACTTAGAAACCTAACAATTTGGTCCGACCTACTGGATCCGAGGAGAGGTGCGCGAGATTTGAGGGAAGAGTTGACGGAAGGTTCAATGTGATGGAGGGCCGGTTAGAGACGATAGAGATTGCGGTTGACGGGATTAAGGCGAAAACAGGGGCGTTGCGCCAAGATACTATCGCAATACGCCAAGAATTGAAGGAGATCACAAGGATTTTGGGGGGGAGAGGTCGACATCAAGCCGACCATCAATCGGAAGATAGCCAGGCGTTGGTCAATGAGAACAAAAAGAAACAAGGGGGGACGAAGGCGGGGGAGAGGGAGTGGCCGTCCCGAGAGCACATTCAATTGGAGGAAAAGAGTGGAACTACCCACTTTTGAAGGATCGGATCCACTCAACTGGATCAATAGAGCGGACACATTTTTTGACTTGCAAGGGGTAACAGAGGATGAGGAGAAGGTGCGGTTGGTGTATATAAGCATGGAGGGCAGTCCTGGATATTGGTTTCGGTTCTGGAAGGAGAAAGCCAGAAACCAATCTTGGGCGGGGTTGAAGGAAGCGATGGTAGCGCAGTTCGGGGGAAGAAGCAGGGGAACCGTCTTTGAAAGGTTGGCCACCATCAAGCAGACCGACTCAGTGCATGAGTTCATCAAAGAATTTGAAATCTTGGTAGGCCAAACGTCGAAGCTACCGGAGGAAATTCTGTTGGGATATTTCATGGCTGGGTTGCAAGAGACAATAGCAACCAGGTGCGATTACTCAAGCCTCAGGAATTGATGGTCGCGATGCGTATCACGCGCGACGCGGAAGAACTGCATGGGGGTGCGAAGTCAAGGGGAACGGGGAGAAATATAACAAACTGGAATAAGTCGATCGGGACGATGTCGTGGGTAGAACCCATACGTCAAAACCAAAACTGAACGGGGCGAGCGGAGAGTAGTGGGTCGGTGCGTAGAGAATCGTCACAGGCGAGCGAGGTGGCGTCATCCAATATCGATAACAGAGGACGAAATTTCCGAAACTTGCCTTACGCCGAATATGTGAAAGGTAGGGAAGAAGGCAAATGTTTCAGATGTGGAGGGGCTTTCGGGCCTGGGCATCAATGCCCAGAAAGGGGTTTGAGGATGTTGATTTTGGCAGAGGACGAAGAGGGAAATGAGACTGAAACAGAGTCGGAGTTAGCCCAGATGCAGATGGAACTTTTGGCGTGCTCTACAGGAGGTCTGACGCAGGCTAAGACGATGAAGTTGCAAGGAGAAATCGGGTGGAGAAGAGTTTTAGTCCTGATTGACAGTGGCGTGAGCCACAATTTCATTAGTAGAGAACTTGTGGGAGAACTGAGATTAGACACGACAGAGACGGGGCCTTACCTAGTTAGCTTGGGCGATGGGCAGAAAAAGGAAACCCGAGCGTGTTGCGAAGGTGTGCGGATTCGTATAGGGGAAGTGGAGGTGACAACTAGATTCCACCTGTTTGAATTAGGAGGAGTGGATGTGATTATGGGGGTGGAATGGTTGGCTACTTTAGGAGAGGTAACTATGGATTGGAGCAACCTGACCATGATTTTCAGCCAGGAGGGTAGGAAGGTAACAATAAGAGGGGATCCTACGCTAACCAGAAGCTTGGTAGCTCCAGAGGCATTGTTGAAAATAAAGGAGGCGGAGGTTTGGATACTAGTATGGGAACTGGGAGAGATGGAGAGGGGTGGAAGGAGCACCTTACACAGGAATAACAGGGATCCGAGAAAAGAAATAGAGGAGGTGTTGGACCAGTATGCAGGGGTGTTCTAGGAACCCAGCGGGTTGCCCCAGAGAGACTTATGGTGCATCAAATACCCATGAAGGAGGGAGTTGACCCAATAAACGTGAGGCCCTATAGGTACCCACATGTGCTGAAGAATGAAATAGAGAAGCAAGTGGCGAGAATGTTGCAAACAGGGGTGATATGGCCAAGCAATAGCCCATATTCCAGCCTTGTTATATTGGTGAAGAAGAAGGATGGTTCTTGGAGAGTCTGCGTGGATTACAGGGCCCTAAACCGTGCCACAATTCTGGATAAGTTTCCAATTCCAGTGATAGAGGAGCTGTTGGATGAGTTGAGAGGAGCAAAATATTTTTCCAAGGTTGATCTTAAGGTTGGGTATCATCAGATACGAATGGGAGAGCAGGACATTCAGAAGACAGTGTTTCGAACTCATTTGGGGCATTATGAATTCTTGGTAATGCCATTTGGCTTGACCAATGCCCCATCAACCTTTCAAAGCGCAATGAACGACTTACTACAGCCTTACCTAAGGAAATTCGTGCTAGTTTTCTTTGACAATATATTGATTTACAGCTAGTCATGGGCAGAACATATGAGGCATGTGGGGATGGTGTTGAGGAGGCTGGAGGAGAATCAATGGGTTGCTAACAGGAAGAAGTGCGAATTTGGAAGTTTTCAGATAGGGTATCTTGGCCACTTGATTTCTGAAAAAGGGGTAGACATGGATCCGGGAAAAGTAAAAGCAGTGCTGGATTGGGAGAGACCAAGGAGTGTGAAAGCCTTGAGGGGATTTCTTGGGTTGACTGGGTATTATCGGCGTTTTGTCAAGGACTATGGAAAAATTGCTAAGCCCTTGACTGACTTATTAAAGAAGGGAGAGTATAGTTGGACTGAACGGGCTGAAGAAGCTATGTCCAGATTGAAGAAAGCAGTTACTTCAGCCCCTGTGTTAGTGTTACGAGATTTTGATCAGCCATTCCACACAGAATGTGATGCGTCGGGAGGGGGAGTTGGAGCAGTGCTGACACAAGGCTGAAGACCCATAGCCTATTTCAGTAAAGCCCTATCAGAGGGGTCATTGAACAAGTCAATCTATGAGAAAGAACTCATGGCCTTGGTGATGGCCATACAACATTGGCGACCATACCTGCTGGGACAACGGTTTGTAGTTCACACAGACCAGAGAAGCTTGCGGTACTTGCTGGAGCAGCGGATTACAACCCAGAATCAGCAGAATTGGCTCGCCAAACTGCTTGGGTATGACTTTGAGATAGTCTACAAGGCAGGGAACACCAACAGGGCAGTGGATGCACTGTCGAGAAGAATGGTGGACCAGGGGGAAGGGGAAAAGGAATTGAGGGTAGTGGCTAGACCCTATTGGTAGGATTTTGGAGATATTCTAAAGGAGGTGGAGGGGGATGAATACTTAAGGAAGGTGGTGCAGGATATTAAGAAGAACCCAGACTCACACCCACCCTTCACTATGGAAAATGAAAGGCTGCATTACAAGGGTAGGTTGGTGGTATCAGCTCAATCATCCTGGATTCCAAAATTGGCGGCCGAGTTCCATTTGACCCAAACTGGGGAGCATTCCGAGGTGTACAAGACCTACAAAAGGGTGGCTCAGTCTCTTTATTGGGTGGGAATGAAGAAGGATGTTACAGACTATGTGGCGGGTTGTTTGGTGTGTCAACAGCACAAGTACCTTGCATCTTCACTTCAAGGACTGTTGCAACCACTACCTATTCCTAATGTTATGTGGGAAGAAGTCAGCATGGACTTCATAATTAAGCTGCCAAGATCGAATGGGTTTGATGCAGTGCTGGTGGTGGTGGATCGCCTTAGTAAGTATAGTCATTTCGTGCCCTTGAAGCACCCTTATTCAGCCCACACGATAGTTGAAGTGGTCAGGTTGCATGGTATACCAGCTTCTATTGTGAGTGACAGAGATCCCCTGTTTTTGAGTAATTTTTGGAAAGAGTTGTTTAAGAAGCAAGGGACTCAGCTGCAGATGAACACAACTTACCAGCCAGAGTCCGATGGACAGACGGAGGTGCTGAACCGGGTATTAGAGGGGTATTTGCGGTGTTTTTGCTCGGAGCAACTTAAGGGATGGAGTTTTGTTTTACCTTGGACGGAATACTGGTACAATACCAGTTTTCAGGGAGCTGCGAAGTGTACACCTTTCGAGGTAGTCTATGGGAGATCACCTCCATCTTTACATAGGTTTATTCCAGGCGAAACAGCAGTAGAGGCAGTAGAGGCAATAGCACAGGAGTTACAGACACGAGATGAGGCTTTGAAGCAATTGAAGTTCCACTTAGTGCGAGCCCAAGAGTTGATGGTAAAGCTGGCTAATAAAAAGTGGAGGGTAGTAGATATTGAGGTAGGAGACTGGGTGTATCTCAAAATTAGGCTGCATAGGCAGACGTCCATGCCATCAAGGCTGCATTCGAAATTGGCAGCGAGATACTATGGGCCTTTCCTAGTTGAGCAGAAGGTGGGACAGGTGGCTTACAGGCTTCAGCTACCCGAAACAGCTTGCATACATCCTGTTTTCCATGCATCACAGTTGAAGAAAACAGTGGGAGATATGAGTGTGGAGAAAGAATTACCTGCGGATTTACAGGGGGAAGGGCCGTTTTATTGGCCTACTAAAGTCTTGGATAGGAGGCACATAAGGCAGGGAGACGAGGAAGTGCCACAAAGTGTTGATTGAATGACAAGAAAGGGGCCATGATGGAGCAACGTGGGAAGATTCCATTACCATACGTGATCAATACCCGGAATTCAACCTTGAGGACAAGGTTGAACATGGGGCGGTGGGTAATGATAGGCCCTGATTAGTTTACAAAAGGAGAGAAAGAATTAAAGAACATAACTGTCTTAACAGTTATGAGGGGAGCGAGAAAGAATTGTATAAATAACCTGTGTTTAGCAGAGGAGGGGAGTTTTTGCAGTTATTGTACAGGCAGGTTCTTTGAACCTTGTGAGGGAGGTTATGCTCCCGGACTATTCATTATACAGACTATCTCTTGAGAAATAATAGAATTNAGTCATGGGCAGAACATATGAGGCATGTGGGGATGGTGTTGAGGAGGCTGGAGGAGAATCAATGGGTTGCTAACAGGAAGAAGTGCGAATTTGGAAGTATTCAGATAGGGTATCTTGGCCACTTGATTTCTGAAAAAGGGGTAGACATGGATCCGGGAAAAGTAAAAGCAGTGCTGGATTGGGAGAGACCAAGGAGTGTGAAAGCCTTGAGGGGATTTCTTGGGTTGACTGGGTATTATCGGCGTTTTGTCAAGGACTATGGAAAAATTGCTAAGCCCTTGACTGACTTATTAAAGAAGGGAGAGTATAGTTGGACTGAACGGGCTGAAGAAGCTATGTCCAGATTGAAGAAAGCAGTTACTTCAGCCCCTGTGTTAGTGTTACGAGATTTTGATCAGCCATTCCACACAGAATGTGATGCGTCGGGAGGGGGAGTTGGAGCAGTGCTGACACAAGGCTGAAGACCCATAGCCTATTTCAGTAAAGCCCTATCAGAGGGGTCATTGAACAAGTCAATCTATGAGAAAGAACTCATGGCCTTGGTGATGGCCATACAACATTGGCGACCATACCTGCTGGGACAACGGTTTGTAGTTCACACAGACCAGAGAAGCTTGCGGTACTTGCTGGAGCAGCGGATTACAACCCAGAATCAGCAGAATTGGCTCGCCAAACTGCTTGGGTATGACTTTGAGATAGTCTACAAGGCAGGGAACACCAACAGGGCAGTGGATGCACTGTCGAGAAGAATGGTGGACCAGGGGGAAGGGGAAAAGGAATTGAGGGTAGTGGCTAGACCCTATTGGTAGGATTTTGGAGATATTCTAAAGGAGGTGGAGGGGGATGAATACTTAAGGAAGGTGGTGCAGGATATTAAGAAGAACCCAGACTCACACCCACCCTTCACTATGGAAAATGAAAGGCTGCATTACAAGGGTAGGTTGGTGGTATCAGCTCAATCATCCTGGATTCCAAAATTGGCGGCCGAGTTCCATTTGACCCAAACTGGGGAGCATTCCGAGGTGTACAAGACCTACAAAAGGGTGGCTCAGTCTCTTTATTGGGTGGGAATGAAGAAGGATGTTACAGACTATGTGGCGGGTTGTTTGGTGTGTCAACAGCACAAGTACCTTGCATCTTCACTTCAAGGACTGTTGCAACCACTACCTATTCCTAATGTTATGTGGGAAGAAGTCAGCATGGACTTCATAATTAAGCTGCCAAGATCGAATGGGTTTGATGCAGTGCTGGTGGTGGTGGATCGCCTTAGTAAGTATAGTCATTTCGTGCCCTTGAAGCACCCTTATTCAGCCCACACGATAGTTGAAGTGGTCAGGTTGCATGGTATACCAGCTTCTATTGTGAGTGACAGAGATCCCCTGTTTTTGAGTAATTTTTGGAAAGAGTTGTTTAAGAAGCAAGGGACTCAGCTGCAGATGAACACAACTTACCAGCCAGAGTCCGATGGACAGACGGAGGTGCTGAACCGGGTATTAGAGGGGTATTTGCGGTGTTTTTGCTCGGAGCAACTTAAGGGATGGAGTTTTGTTTTACCTTGGACGGAATACTGGTACAATACCAGTTTTCAGGGAGCTGCGAAGTGTACACCTTTCGAGGTAGTCTATGGGAGATCACCTCCATCTTTACATAGGTTTATTCCAGGCGAAACAGCAGTAGAGGCAGTAGAGGCAATAGCACAGGAGTTACAGACACGAGATGAGGCTTTGAAGCAATTGAAGTTCCACTTAGTGCGAGCCCAAGAGTTGATGGTAAAGCTGGCTAATAAAAAGTGGAGGGTAGTAGATATTGAGGTAGGAGACTGGGTGTATCTCAAAATTAGGCTGCATAGGCAGATGTCCATGCCATCAAGGCTGCATTCGAAATTGGCAGCGAGATACTATGGGCCTTTCCTAGTTGAGCAGAAGGTTGGACAGGTGGCTTACAGGCTTCAGCTACCCGAAACAGCTTGCATACATCCTGTTTTCCATGCATCACAGTTGAAGAAAACAGTGGGAGATATGAGTGTGGAGAAAGAATTACCTGCGGATTTACAGGGGGAAGGGCCGTTTTATTGGCCTACTAAAGTCTTGGATAGGAGGCACATATGGCAGGGAGACGAGGAAGTGCCACAAAGTGTTGATTGAATGACAAGAAAGGGGCCATGATGGAGCAACGTGGGAAGATTCCATTACCATACGTGATCAATACCCGGAATTCAACCTTGAGGACAAGGTTGAACATGGGGCGGTGGGTAATGATAGGCCCTGATTAGTTTACAAAAGGAGAGAAAGAATTAAAGAACATAACTGTCTTAACAGTTATGAGGGGAGCGAGAAAGAATTGTATAAATAACCTGTGTTTAGCAGAGGAGGGGAGTTTTTGCAGTTATTGTACAGGCAGGTTCTTTGAACCTTGTGAGGGAGGTTATGCTCCCGGACTATTCATTATACAGACTATCTCTTGAGAAATAATAGAATTCTTACTTCATCTTTGCATTATGTGTGTGTGAGAGTGTTTTTGGCTAGGTTTCGTACATAGAAACCTAACAGAAACTTTTATACATTTTAGTTTCTAAACTTAAAAAATGAATGGATATATACTTTTTAACTTAATTATGTTAAAAAAATTTAACGTGTTTACGTTTCCCAACCATATTGAAGTAAGAGCATGTAAACATCTCATGCGGTTAATATAATTGAGTTAAAACCACTATATCTATTATTTTTAAAGTTTAAAGATTAAAATGTATTAAAGTTTCGGATAAAGAGAAATTTCAATTTCTCATCAAAGTTTAGGAATTAAAAACATTCTTGGCCCTTTCTCAAAAGCATGACATTACATATAAAATGAAAGTCAGTCGTCATTGACTAAGAGGAATAATTTCTTGAAGTTTAAAAGAATTGGGCATTTCCAAACGCCTACTCTTACTAATATATCAAATGCTTGTCATCCAGGAAAACAAAGATATTTTGGGAGATGGTTATGAAGATGATGTTCTTGGGGAATCAACACCGGATGTTATAGTCAGTGAATTCGTAAGTTTCTTTCTTAAGTTTCTTCTTTTGCAACTTCGAAGTAAATGTTTATTCTGATCTATTCACAAATTCACTTATAATTATGGTCATTATTTTTTATTTCACACTAATACCAAATGTTATAGTTATGGTCATTAATTTTTATATGATAATTAAGTTTTTCTTAAATAAAAAAGACGTAATAATGAACTTTTTATTTTTAAATCTTTATCCACGTACATCTTAATAGTGTCGCAAGGTATATCCTCGTGCATTTCACACACCTTACCATTGAGGTCAAATGGGAATTTATTAACAGATTATTTCTTATTCAAATGTCAGTTTTATCTGATTGTAGACAGCATACATTTATTGTCTGGTTAAGGTTCTAAAGAGGTTAAAAATTAATCCCGACTTTGGTAATAGTATTGTTTGGCTCCTCTGGCAGTTCTCTAAGTTCATACCTGTCCTTTTAGAATATTAATCATATTTTCTTATTTTTAGAATATTAACTAGTTGCACTTGGCTTTTGCTGATGAGATAACTGTAGTGCACATTTGGTTATTATTTGCACTTTTGGTTCCGTTCATTTTTAATTTCTCAAAAAAAATATTTCTAGCAGTAGTAGTGTATACATAATGCTTTCTTTGATTGAATGCATATTTCATGTCGTTCTTATTAGCACCGTTGGAATATTCTTCCTTTTAAGAATCTAGAGGTGGTCTTTCTTACATGCTCACCATTCACAACTTTCATGTATCAGTTGAAGGGTGAGAAGGAACTTATTGAGAAGTTGTTGCAAACTGAAATAAATATATTCCGCTCAATCAGAGATGGAAGTGCTCTGATGCAGCATATGGAGGATTTCTATTACATCACGTTACTAGAGGTACAGTTGAATCTCATAAAACTATTCAATTTATCACTTGCCTAATTCTTTTGTTCTGCTATTATCATTCCTGTCTAGTTTTATAGAGTAGCTCGGATGTTTTTTTTTGGAAGTAGTCTATTATAATAGTTGTAGAAATGTCGGATAGTATTCATATGAATGAATACTTGTGTCACGAGCAAAACTAATGAACATATTATATATTGAAAATGCATCTAACAATAGTAATATTAAAAGAGTGAAATCTACAAATTGGAAATTGTACTCTACTGCATTATTTCTTTTACAAAAGAAAATTCTTTAAGAACTAAGAAATGCATATTTTGATATTCCTTATGGTCTTTTAACGAAATTATCATTCAGTTTAGGTGTACAATAAACACCTTGCCATAAGTATATTAATTTTGTATATCACTAATGAACCAATATGTGTTTATCCTGTAATTATGTTTTTAATTCATACAGTACAGCTCGATATTTCACGATTGGTTGTCATACCTCGATATATGAAAATGCATAAAGCTAATAGATGCATTATCTAAATCATAGGTAGGAGATTGGGTAGGTCAACCAAATTGACTTTCTTTTCTATGATTAAAGATCAAATTGATGTTCCACTTTGTTTAGAGGACCAAATTAACATCAGTTGGTTAAGGGGGACTAAATTTGTTTAATGATTTCATCATGCAGTTTTCTTTTCTTATTAGTTCGTTCTTTCATTTTATCTGATACTAATGTTTCGTACTGTATTATTATTTAATTCAGAATGTAAGATCAAATTACCAAGCAGTCCCAAGGTCAGAACAAGATCAAAACTATAGTTTATAATGATCCAACAAGGGTTTGCTGTGGCTAGCTTCAGTCTCCGGTACCCAATACTTGATAAATTTGTATATAGGTGTTGAGAAGAGCATACATGTACATTTGAGATCGCTTGCGGGCTTGCGGGCTTGCAGCCAATTCTTTTTTGGTATAGTAGACTGTACTATGTTAAACAACTGCTTACATGCATTTTATTTACCTTTTTAAAAAAAAATTAAGATAATCACTTTGTTGGATTGCAAAAGTTGTATAAAAAGCTGTTTCTTGGATCTACTGTGAAATGACTGAACCTTATTAGTTGTTTTAGTACGTCATTTCACTCAACTTTGCTATATTTCCACTTGAATGATAAACTGCATCTGCAGTTGCTTCACATAGCATAAGCATTCACCTTAGTATATCCTGAATTTCTGTTTTTGGAACTAGTGTAATGGGGAGTGGACCTATTCTGCTAAAAATAATTATATGACAATGTTACAATCTCGCCGTTTTTTTTACTACAATTTTTAACAGTCATTATTTAATGCTAATGGAATTTAATGAAAGGTTACGATCCTCTACACTAATCCCTATGTAACTTGTTAGGAAACAGATTTTATTTAGTTTTTTAATTTCATTATAAAGTTTTAAAATGGTCGAAGTCATTTTCCAGAACTTGTAAGAAGAGAGTGAAACTTGTTTATTCTTTCCTCAGTAATGAACTTGAATGTGGCTATTTGTTGCATGATTAATATCCTCTGGAAGAAGATTTTCTGTCTTATTAATAAAACCTACTTGAATTGGCAGCCAAGGAAATGGAAGCTATGCAGTATGTCCTGTATATTTTTCAAATGGAACCGACAAGGAAATGTGAGTTCCTAGAGACTGAAGAACAAAAATTCTTAACAACTTCTGTTGTTTAGGTATTATATTTATTTGGCTTGTGAAAATAATATTATAGCATGAATGTCAAATATTCAAAGACATCTAATCCTTGTTCTGATATCAAGAATCTATAGTCTCATGCAGAATGTAATTTATGTTGTAAATATGCACATACAAACATTTTATGTTGTTCAAAGATTCAGTTGTTGTGGTTGAGCATAGATTGATTTGCATTGCCAGTTTTTATTGGGATTAAGTGCCACGTTACCATTTATTGAAGATGTAAAAGATAGAAGGTAAACAATGATTTTGTTTATGATTACTTGTTAATACAACTAGAGGTGAGTAAAATAAGAGGCGCTGAGCCGAGCTTTTTTAATCGAACTGATAGACACAACAAAGGCAATTTCGATCAAAAGTTATTTTTCACTTATTTTATTCTTAAAAAAATTGGTTTTCAAATTATCTAATTGAAGTTATTTAACTTTTCGATTTCGAATTTATGGAGCAAAACGGAACATCGTTAGGATAAATAGTTTATTTACTTAGTTAGGTTTAATTATCACATCCGAAATGTATGTTTTGAAAAATAAAATTTTATCATGATTCTATCTTTAACCAGCATTTCACAACGAAAAATAAGTATTTAAATTATTTTTAGTTTCAATTAAGCAATAAGGTATACTTAAACATTTTGTTTGAACTTTGTTAATGGTAGATGTAATTAAGTATATGTTTGATGTATAATAATCATTTATTAAAGAGATAATGAACATTAATATGTAATTAATTATAATTATTTTTCAAATAAGTTTATACTAGGATCATTATGAATTTGAGATCTAAATTATGCTGATGCTTTAAAGTTCATTTATTATTTGTCATGAAATTTTATTAAAAAAAAAATAAAAAATGAATGCAAAATATGAAGAAATCAGACCAAGCACATCATAAAAACTACATATAGACCTTATAATTATTTCAACTCTACTCATATCTATTTCACATCTACAAGGTTGACTACGGAGATTAATAATATTAATTTTTCCTTTGTATATATGCTCAATTACCTTAACAATTAAGAGAGTTCAAACAAAAACTAATGGAATTCATGTTTTTGTACTAAAATTATCNAAGTCAAGGGGAACGGGGAGAAATATAACAAACTGGAATAAGTCGATCGGGACGATGTCGTGGGTAGAACCCATACGTCAAAACCAAAACTGAACGGGGCGAGCGGAGAGTAGTGGGTCGGTGCGTAGAGAATCGTCACAGGCGAGCGAGGTGGCGTCATCCAATATCGATAACAGAGGACGAAATTTCCGAAACTTGCCTTACGCCGAATATGTGAAAGGTAGGGAAGAAGGCAAATGTTTCAGATGTGGAGGGGCTTTCGGGCCTGGGCATCAATGCCCAGAAAGGGGTTTGAGGATGTTGATTTTGGCAGAGGACGAAGAGGGAAATGAGACTGAAACAGAGTCGGAGTTAGCCCAGATGCAGATGGAACTTTTGGCGTGCTCTACAGGAGGTCTGACGCAGGCTAAGACGATGAAGTTGCAAGGAGAAATCGGGTGGAGAAGAGTTTTAGTCCTGATTGACAGTGGCGTGAGCCACAATTTCATTAGTAGAGAACTTGTGGGAGAACTGAGATTAGACACGACAGAGACGGGGCCTTACCTAGTTAGCTTGGGCGATGGGCAGAAAAAGGAAACCCGAGCGTGTTGCGAAGGTGTGCGGATTCGTATAGGGGAAGTGGAGGTGACAACTAGATTCCACCTGTTTGAATTAGGAGGAGTGGATGTGATTATGGGGGTGGAATGGTTGGCTACTTTAGGAGAGGTAACTATGGATTGGAGCAACCTGACCATGATTTTCAGCCAGGAGGGTAGGAAGGTAACAATAAGAGGGGATCCTACGCTAACCAGAAGCTTGGTAGCTCCAGAGGCATTGTTGAAAATAAAGGAGGCGGAGGTTTGGATACTAGTATGGGAACTGGGAGAGATGGAGAGGGGTGGAAGGAGCACCTTACACAGGAATAACAGGGATCCGAGAAAAGAAATAGAGGAGGTGTTGGACCAGTATGCAGGGGTGTTCTAGGAACCCAGCGGGTTGCCCCAGAGAGACTTATGGTGCATCAAATACCCATGAAGGAGGGAGTTGACCCAATAAACGTGAGGCCCTATAGGTACCCACATGTGCTGAAGAATGAAATAGAGAAGCAAGTGGCGAGAATGTTGCAAACAGGGGTGATATGGCCAAGCAATAGCCCATATTCCAGCCTTGTTATATTGGTGAAGAAGAAGGATGGTTCTTGGAGAGTCTGCGTGGATTACAGGGCCCTAAACCGTGCCACAATTCTGGATAAGTTTCCAATTCCAGTGATAGAGGAGCTGTTGGATGAGTTGAGAGGAGCAAAATATTTTTCCAAGGTTGATCTTAAGGTTGGGTATCATCAGATACGAATGGGAGAGCAGGACATTCAGAAGACAGTGTTTCGAACTCATTTGGGGCATTATGAATTCTTGGTAATGCCATTTGGCTTGACCAATGCCCCATCAACCTTTCAAAGCGCAATGAACGACTTACTACAGCCTTACCTAAGGAAATTCGTGCTAGTTTTCTTTGACAATATATTGATTTACAGCTAGTCATGGGCAGAACATATGAGGCATGTGGGGATGGTGTTGAGGAGGCTGGAGGAGAATCAATGGGTTGCTAACAGGAAGAAGTGCGAATTTGGAAGTATTCAGATAGGGTATCTTGGCCACTTGATTTCTGAAAAAGGGGTAGACATGGATCCGGGAAAAGTAAAAGCAGTGCTGGATTGGGAGAGACCAAGGAGTGTGAAAGCCTTGAGGGGATTTCTTGGGTTGACTGGGTATTATCGGCGTTTTGTCAAGGACTATGGAAAAATTGCTAAGCCCTTGACTGACTTATTAAAGAAGGGAGAGTATAGTTGGACTGAACGGGCTGAAGAAGCTATGTCCAGATTGAAGAAAGCAGTTACTTCAGCCCCTGTGTTAGTGTTACGAGATTTTGATCAGCCATTCCACACAGAATGTGATGCGTCGGGAGGGGGAGTTGGAGCAGTGCTGACACAAGGCTGAAGACCCATAGCCTATTTCAGTAAAGCCCTATCAGAGGGGTCATTGAACAAGTCAATCTATGAGAAAGAACTCATGGCCTTGGTGATGGCCATACAACATTGGCGACCATACCTGCTGGGACAACGGTTTGTAGTTCACACAGACCAGAGAAGCTTGCGGTACTTGCTGGAGCAGCGGATTACAACCCAGAATCAGCAGAATTGGCTCGCCAAACTGCTTGGGTATGACTTTGAGATAGTCTACAAGGCAGGGAACACCAACAGGGCAGTGGATGCACTGTCGAGAAGAATGGTGGACCAGGGGGAAGGGGAAAAGGAATTGAGGGTAGTGGCTAGACCCTATTGGTAGGATTTTGGAGATATTCTAAAGGAGGTGGAGGGGGATGAATACTTAAGGAAGGTGGTGCAGGATATTAAGAAGAACCCAGACTCACACCCACCCTTCACTATGGAAAATGAAAGGCTGCATTACAAGGGTAGGTTGGTGGTATCAGCTCAATCATCCTGGATTCCAAAATTGGCGGCCGAGTTCCATTTGACCCAAACTGGGGAGCATTCCGAGGTGTACAAGACCTACAAAAGGGTGGCTCAGTCTCTTTATTGGGTGGGAATGAAGAAGGATGTTACAGACTATGTGGCGGGTTGTTTGGTGTGTCAACAGCACAAGTACCTTGCATCTTCACTTCAAGGACTGTTGCAACCACTACCTATTCCTAATGTTATGTGGGAAGAAGTCAGCATGGACTTCATAATTAAGCTGCCAAGATCGAATGGGTTTGATGCAGTGCTGGTGGTGGTGGATCGCCTTAGTAAGTATAGTCATTTCGTGCCCTTGAAGCACCCTTATTCAGCCCACACGATAGTTGAAGTGGTCAGGTTGCATGGTATACCAGCTTCTATTGTGAGTGACAGAGATCCCCTGTTTTTGAGTAATTTTTGGAAAGAGTTGTTTAAGAAGCAAGGGACTCAGCTGCAGATGAACACAACTTACCAGCCAGAGTCCGATGGACAGACGGAGGTGCTGAACCGGGTATTAGAGGGGTATTTGCGGTGTTTTTGCTCGGAGCAACTTAAGGGATGGAGTTTTGTTTTACCTTGGACGGAATACTGGTACAATACCAGTTTTCAGGGAGCTGCGAAGTGTACACCTTTCGAGGTAGTCTATGGGAGATCACCTCCATCTTTACATAGGTTTATTCCAGGCGAAACAGCAGTAGAGGCAGTAGAGGCAATAGCACAGGAGTTACAGACACGAGATGAGGCTTTGAAGCAATTGAAGTTCCACTTAGTGCGAGCCCAAGAGTTGATGGTAAAGCTGGCTAATAAAAAGTGGAGGGTAGTAGATATTGAGGTAGGAGACTGGGTGTATCTCAAAATTAGGCTGCATAGGCAGACGTCCATGCCATCAAGGCTGCATTCGAAATTGGCAGCGAGATACTATGGGCCTTTCCTAGTTGAGCAGAAGGTGGGACAGGTGGCTTACAGGCTTCAGCTACCCGAAACAGCTTGCATACATCCTGTTTTCCATGCATCACAGTTGAAGAAAACAGTGGGAGATATGAGTGTGGAGAAAGAATTACCTGCGGATTTACAGGGGGAAGGGCCGTTTTATTGGCCTACTAAAGTCTTGGATAGGAGGCACATAAGGCAGGGAGACGAGGAAGTGCCACAAAGTGTTGATTGAATGACAAGAAAGGGGCCATGATGGAGCAACGTGGGAAGATTCCATTACCATACGTGATCAATACCCGGAATTCAACCTTGAGGACAAGGTTGAACATGGGGCGGTGGGTAATGATAGGCCCTGATTAGTTTACAAAAGGAGAGAAAGAATTAAAGAACATAACTGTCTTAACAGTTATGAGGGGAGCGAGAAAGAATTGTATAAATAACCTGTGTTTAGCAGAGGAGGGGAGTTTTTGCAGTTATTGTACAGGCAGGTTCTTTGAACCTTGTGAGGGAGGTTATGCTCCCGGACTATTCATTATACAGACTA